TATATATTTTAGTGTTCTAAAAAAAAGTTGATAATTTTTTGGTATTTTTTCCATTTAGTCTTTATTATTTAAAAAGTTTAAATTTAATAATTTTAATATTTTCTAATTTAGTCAGTTAGCAGTTGATGGGATTTTAAAACTTTATAAGAAAAAGAATCATTATCAAAATCACCCGGGGCTCATAGTGAAAAATATAAAAACATAGATATTTAAATTAAAAATTTACTAAATTTAAAAAATATTATAGGACTAAAAAAATTAACGTAATTTCAAATTTATTTGCAAGTTTAAAATATTACCATTATAGATTATTGAGTTATATATTTTATTTATTTCTTTTTTCATATTTCACCCTGTAATCAAAATCAAAATCAAGTTTGATTTTTAAGTTACGTTACTTATATTAGATTCGATTATGCTATTATTTTTAATTTATTGTAGATATTTTACTTAAAAAATAATTGTTGATATTGTTAGTTTTTTTTGATTAAATTATACAAACCACCTCTAAAAAATATCATAAATATCATGTTTGTTACAATTATACCTTCAAACTTTAAATTATAAAAATTAAACCCTTAAACTTTTATAAATGAAAAAATTGCACCCGTAAAATATGATGATTGCTACAATTACACTCTCAAACATTCAATTGTAAAAATTAAATCCTCGAACTTTTTATAAAAGGAAAAAATTGCACCCTAAACTTCAAATTTAAAAAAATTAAGCTCTTAAAATATTAAATTTATTCTCTCTCTCCCATCTCTCCCTACTTTCTCTCTCAAGAAAACTTTCTTCACCTTATCCCCTTTCTTATTGCCTATTTCTCTTTACTTTTTTCAGATAACTTAAATTTCAATCTCAATTTTCCAGCGGTTTTGAAAGAATAATCAATGAGTATAATTGAGGACAAACGATCAAATTGGGCTCATCAATTTTCGGGCGATTATATCGATTATGGTTTTTTATTTTTCTGTTTTGTATTTTGATTGGAATATGTTGGTGTCAATTGCGGTTTCGAACTCGCGGGGATTTTCTCCCTCGTCGTAGATGTTCCCTTTTTGCTCATCATTCCTTTGTTCTCCTTTTCGGATTAGGTTTTCGAAGTTCCGTTCTGAGCTTTAGGCTTTCCTCAGTAGCTTCCACGTCTTCTCCTTCATCAGTGTCGTCCAACGCGATTTTGCAATAAAAAAGTAGAGAGAGAGAGGAAGAACAAAGAGGAGAGGGAAAGTAAAAAGACAGGGGAGAGTAAAAATAAATTTAATTTTGTCCTTTTATGAAATTTTAAGAGTTTAATTTTTCAAAATTAGAATTTTAGGGATGAATTCTAAGGGTGTACTTTTTTCACCGGTAAAAGTTTGAGGGTGTAATTGCAACAATCATAATATTTTAGTGGTAGTTTGTGCAATTTGCTTTTTTTTTCCCTTTTCAGTGCAACGGGGTGTGGCACTAAAAAGAAAGGAAGGAAAAAAAATCTGGGAGAATGAATCCCAAAAAACCACCAAATGACTCAAACATATATTTAATCAATCATTCTTGGCTCCCAACCGTTGCAGATGAATCAAACTTAGACAAGGGTAGGAAATAATTGTTCTTTTTTATATACTCATAATCATTCTCTTCCCTAATCAATGTGAAACTTTATTTACGCTCCTTACAAATTCAACACAATGCTCACTTTGACATCTCCTTTTAGTTAATCTACAACTTCTTTCTTTACTTTTATTTATATACATGTATATATATAATGATTACTATTTACAAATATGATAAGATAAAATAGAGGAGGAGTTAATAAATTATTACTATGATTTACTTCCACTATCCTCTGTATTAATTGTTGTCGACATGAGTACTGTTTCATTAATGGCTAAAGACATTACTTACCTTTCTATAGGTTGGAGATTCAAATCACCACTCGTAACTACATTAAAAAGATACACAAATATTAATTATCAAAATTACGATTATAATCTATCTCATTTATGGGCCAATAATCAATTATGAAAAGATCAAATGACTCAAGTATTAGGAGCGACTACAAATTTTAAGTAGGTTAAAAAACACTCAGAGTCGTTGCAAATTTGTTGAAGATAGTTGCTCATGACAAATATTATTAACATTTAATAGGGTTTCTCACCTATGTAAATTAATAAATTTAATTAGAGACCAAATGTACTCACTAAAAATTACTTAATTTTTATGATATTTTACACGGTAGAAACTAAATTGTTATAAATTGTATACTACAAATACTAAATCGTAACATATAAAGTTTAGAAATTAAATTATTACAAATTTAAACGTACATCGATTAAAAGTTATTACAATTTAAAATTCAATGAGTAAATTGTTACTTTAATGATAGTACTGCGGAGGAAGAAAACAATCTCCTGTTATATCAAAATAATTAATAAAAATATAAACTATTTGTAAAATTGATTGTAATTGTGGATGTAGTTCAAATGGTAGAGCGCTTGCTTTGCATGCGAGAGGTACGGGGTTTGATCCCTCGCATCGCATCTCCAATGATTTGTTTTTTGAGTCAGACTTTTTTTTACTTTTTTTTTTTCCTTCCTTTTTGAATGAGAGAGAATTCCTGTAATAAAAATAAACAAATTCTAAAATTTTAATATTCTATTTAATAAAGATTCTTTTTTTAGTATAAATACTTTAGAAAATGTTGTACTAAAAAGAAAATTTAGAAAATGTTATTTTTGAGGTCACGATTTTTTTTTCTTTGGAACGACTCCCCTACTTTTTATGAGAGAATTCCCTGTAATAAAAATAAACCAGTTCTAAAATTTTAATATTCTATTTAATAAAGATTTTTTTTAATATAAATAGTTTAGAAAATGTTGTACTAAAAAGAAAATTTAGAAAATTTTATTTTTGAGGTCACACTTTTTTTCTTTTGTTTTTTTGAGTCAGACTTTTATTTTTTTTGTTTTTTTTCTTTTTGGAACGACTTCTCTACTTTCTATGAGAGAATTCCCTGTAATAAAAATAAACCAATTCTAAAATTTTAATATTCTATTTAATAAAGAATTTTTTTTAGTATAAATAGTTTAGAAAATGTTGTACTAACAAAAATTTAGAAAATGTTATTTCTGAGTCAGACTTTTTTTTTTCCTTTTGTTTTTTTGTTTTTTTGTTTTTTGTTTTTTGTTTTTTGTTTTTTTGACGACTCCTAAAATAAATCAGGTCTAAATTTTTAATATTCTATTTAACAAAGATTTTTTTTAGTATACATAGTTTAGAAAATGTTGTATTAAAAAAATTAGAAAATGTTACCTAGGTTTATATTTTAGAAATAAAATTAAAAAAAAAGAACAGAATATCAAATGGGTCTTCGGGCTTTCTTAATTACGAGCTATATTTAGAATATATTAAAAAAAGGTTTTATATTTAAGAATTTTTCAATATTATTTTAACGAATAAAAATGATTAATAACCAAGGGAAAATGCCCTTTTTTAATCTGTCTAAGGAAGAATGCTCAGTTGTTTTTCCAAATAAGTTCATATAGACAGTTATTTTGTCTATTCTTATGCATAACACAAAAAATTAGTTGTGAAAAATACTTTTAAAAA